CATTTTTTTCTTCTCCCTTCCCCTCCTTCCTCCCTCTCTCCCTCCCTCCCGCCCTCTCTCAAACAGACACATGCACACAGAGAAGTTGGATCCCTCTCTCTCTCACTCACTCACTCTCAAACACAAACACAGAAGTTGGATTGGATATATTTTCCAATGGCTTGTAAGCAGCTCCTCTGCCATACCCCCCCGCTTCCCCTGCTGCCTTCCGATCCGAGCCTTTGATTGCAGGTGGAGCCTAGGACTTTGTTACACCAACATATACCCAGTTCCTGCAACTATTCTTCATGTTTTAGCCTCCAACTACCTAATCATCTTTGCCGCTCTTCTTACAGATTTCCTTCTGGCTTGGTCTAGAAAACCCATCCACATTTCTCAGACTTGGCATTTCACTTTCCTGATTCCGTAGGTATCGAATGGATGAAACAGGACAGAAAAAGAAAGAAAGAAACCACTTTTTAAATAAACAGGACACTTGGTAATTTCATTCTGATCCCATTTGCATTTAAAAGGGACTGAGCACATGGCCCAAATTAGCTCGCAATATTGCAGTTGCTATGACTGCAAAGTGCCCCGTAAAACGCTACTCTTCCATGGCTCTCGTAAAGGCCATCGTAAAGTTGACCATTACCATCCTACAGAGACCGAGATGCAGAATTTAATGAATGTAAGTAGACTTTTCTGACTTTACATCCATGTTTAATGTCAGCCTAGGGGTGATCTGTAAAGTATTATTAATTGCCTTGCGAGGCAAAGGATGGAATGGTTCTATATAATGTGTAATCATTTAAATAAGTAACACAACTCATCACCGATTGTGCGAAATGCTGTAGAGCAGTTCGGAATGGAAGAGTTGGGCTTTCACCACACCGAACCATGAGGCTGAGATGTGTTCTTTTGTGGCTTGCTACAAGCACACCAGAGACGGCATTCAGCTGGTTCTCTCCAGTTTGGGTGAACTGGTATGGCGGCTGGGGGAAGCTCCACCAACCCATCCCGACATAATGTGCAAGCACTATGCATGCAAGCTCACATTTGCCAACCGGTAGGGAAGGTAAGTGAATCCCACGATTGAAGCACACTCTCAGAAAGCTGATTTTCCCATGGGTTTGCAGTTTATGCTTAATGCATTGCTCGTAGACTGGAAGCAGAAGATATTAAGATCAATAGAACTGAAGAAAGAGGGTGATATTTTAGGATCCAGTTTCCATGAATCACTCACCAGATGCTAATGGAACTCCCAAAACCATGTTACAGAAGCTTCTTTTGCTGCTCCTTTTAAGAGCTCTGCTGATGCAGTGGTTAAAATGCAGTATTGCAGGCAAACTCTGCCCACAGCCGAGATCCTGATGGGGCTCAAGCAGGGATGGGATTCAGTTGGTTCAGATCGGTTTGGGTGAAATGGTAGTTTCAGTGAACTAGCAGTGCTTCATCAACTCTTCCCTCCCTCTCTCCTTCCCTCCTTACTTCTTTCTCTCCTTCCTTCTCTCCCTCCCTCCATCCTTCCCTCTGTCCTTTATTCATTCTCCTTCCTTTCTTCCCTCCCTCCTTCCCTCTATCCTTTATTCATTCTCCTTCCTTCCTTCCCTCCCTCCTTCCCTCTGTCCTTTATTCATTCTCCTTCCTTCCCTCCCTCCCTCCTTCCCTCTGTCCTTTATTCATTCTCCTTCCTTTCTTCCCTCCCTCCTTCCCTCTATCCTTTATTCATTCTCCTTCCTTCCTTCCCTCCCTCCTTCCCTCTGACCTTTATTCATTCTCCTTCCTTCCCTCCCTCCCTCCTTCCCTCTGTCCTTTATTCATTTTCTTTCTTTCTTTCCTTCCTTCCTTCCTTCCTTCCTTCCTTCCT